TATTTATATATATATATATATATATTTATATATAAAAATAGATATATATATAATATATATATATATATATATATATATATATATATATAAATATATATATTGATATTTAAAAAAATCTTTTTCAAAGCATGACGATTGACAGCCATCTCACCCCTAGGTATATCCATCATGTATGACATGCATCCTAAAACTACTTGATTCTTATAATTATTTGTATTAGTTAAGATGCAAGCTGATAAATTTTATAACTGATTTAAAAATTGTAATTCAAGGCGGCCGGAAAGCCTTTAAGAGCTATATTCCCCCCCCCCCAATTACCCTGATGCCTAACCCACTCTAACCACATATTAGGCGTTCAAACACGTTGGAAACGTGGCCCTAGTAGCCACATCCTTGACACAAGGAAACATCACTTCACCCCCCCTTACCCCACCCACATACTTTTTTTCCTCGTGTGTTATTTATGTACTTACGTGACCCCGCGCTTATCGAAAGTGGTAAACTTACAAGCACCGACATCCTAACTTTGTTTTTAGCAATAATAATTTTACATGGCATGAATGACTGAGTTTTTACCCGCGTACCTAACCAAGTAGGGGGTTGAGAATCAGTGAATCAGCATAACGATTAAGAGATTGAGGCCATCGTTACAACAAAACCAAAAAACTCAATAAACTTCAAACTTTATCCCTCTGCCCCGATGAGTCGTTTTAACTTTATTTTAATTTCCGATAAAGATTATCCATCGGAGAACATATGCTCACTGCAAGATCGATAATGATAAAAGAATGTGATAATCGCATCATTTTTTTTAAAATTCCGACTGCGTCACCGTGCTGTCACCGACGTGCACTGGCAAGTTAGACATGGTCCACAGTGGGCCACAGTGGGCCACAGTGGGCGGGGGGAATGAGGTGAGACTTTTTTTTTTAAACACATAGCTCGCCAGTAAACCCATGGCTCACTAGCATATTCATAACAACTCGACCGTTAACCCATAACTCTTTAACCCATTCATCGCCTGTTAACCCATACATCGCCTGTTGACCCATAACTCGCGCCTTTAACCCATACATCACCTGTTTACCCATGGCTCAAAAATAGGGATTGAATAGAATCTAACAAAAAAAAAATAAAATGTAGTTTTCATAAAAGCTGAGCCTCTCAAAGTGCAAGGTATCATTTTTTTTTTTTTTGGTCTGAGAAGAAAACAACAATGGCAATTTAAGCGTTAAATCAATAAAAACATTGACATTTTGAAACATTTGAGACTAGGCTGAGGTAAAGTTTTCATTTCTTCAAAGGTTAAAAAACAACAAACGAACAACACAAAACAACTCAATCAATTCGTTCTCAAACATAGGAATAAACCGTTAAATAAATAGGCATACCAAAATCCACATTTTTCGGAAACTGTGGTTTGGAAAAAAAACACTAAATACCTGAATTATATATTATTTATTAGATCTTTTTGCATCGCCTAAAAAAATGTGCATACAGACGTACGTGAACAGTGGTTTGAGAAGCGTTGAATTTAAGTATAGGATAAATCTCGATCGATCGAGATATGTTTTTTTGTTTGTTTTTTTTATCGTTTGTTAAGACGAGAAGAGGAAGAGCAGTTATTGTACACGTTCGCTGTACAGCCTATGACGACAGCTGTAGTCTGAAACGAGATTTGCGTACGTGCATATTCAACAAATTTTCGCGCCCATCCCCCCCCCCCCACACAGCCTGGGAGACCGGTATGTACTATACAAATATCGACGTCAATATGTTTTTTTTGTTTGTTTTTGTAAATGGGTCGATTGGTGGCAAGAAAATTACACGATGGGTCTCAAACCAAAATTGACATGGTCATTTCTCCTGATCAATAGATGATTCCTGGAATGTTCGGTCGTAATCCCGTAACCAAAAGTTTGTAATTTAAGAAATAAAAACTCGTTTATTTTAGAGGGTAAGGAGTACCATAAAAATTACACTTCTGCAATGTCTTCCTGGTGCGTTCAAGTTAAGTTTTTTTTTGGTGTACACTATTTGACATAAGGCTTTACTCGGGACGGAGCGCTAACTAAAGGGAGGCTAGCGGTGTGCTTTATTCTATGTTCCAAGAGCAATGCGCTTTAAAACATGTGTGAAATAATGTTTTCAAACCAATTGTTAGCTATTTACCGCTATCAAAGTATACATAAAGAATAGTGAAACCTCGTCCATTTTCAAAAAGTCCCTTAAAACTCATCTGTTTAGGTCCGCCTATGACCTGTGATGCACCCTCCTTGCCCTACCTAATTTTCTGTTTCGGTTTAATCCTGAAGTGTCAAAGTGTCCTCTTTTTATAGCCATTTTCATTGTTTCTATAGAATAGTAGTTACTATCCTAGTGTCTCATTTGTATTTACTTAGTTTACATGTTTTAATAACTGTAAAGGGCTTAGAGCTTTATGATAAGCGCTATATAAAAATGCCTAAATAAATAAATAAATAAATAAATGTATACAGAAATTATACACCATTTTAAGAAATTACAGTAAATTTCGTGGTATAAGGAGAGTTAGAGAAACAATTCCACGTAGTTCAGGTTCATGAATTTTAGATGTTATAGCATTACCGTCTGTCACATGAAAATAATCATCAAGGCCTAAGATCATTCTTTTTTTTTCCTTTTTTTTTTTAGGTTTAGTCGCTTGTTCTCACACAGCAGATAAAGGGAGCGAATTGTGGATGACTCAGCTTCGCACCAGTGGCGACGCAGGAGTTGTCGGAATGTTTCATTGTACCAATGTTATCCGCCTACGGATCTCAATCCCAGGGTTTGAATTCAGAGTCTACTTCTCTTAGGTGAGTCGCCATCGAAGGTAAATAAGTCCCATCCATCCAAGAAGCTGGTGATGTTTTTTGCTTGACTGGACATGGGTGGGGATTGAACTCCAGACCAAGAAATTGACTCGAACTAGACCACTCGGGCCACCCATGAAATACAAAAAAGGAAAAAAAAAGCACGCTGAAAAAACGAATAGTCATAATGATAGCAAATATTGACGTAGTGCTGTAACAAATACAAAACGATTACAACAGTCGCAAGCGTCCGGGTCGTTTGAGCTTGGCCACCTGGTTTTGGAGCGTCTTGTTTTTTGGAGGGGATCAGGCGCCGCTCCAAAGATGTCGTTTGAGTGGTCACAGCTGGCCTCTGGGCGGCCTTTCGGGTGTGCGACCTGTGCCCTCGAAAAGGGCGCTTTGGCCATAGGGTCGCCTGGGGCGCCCAGTATATATTTAAATTCCCTCAGT